TTTTTGGTTTTCGCTATGTCTGTAATACGCGTTGTCGAATCGTCAAGGGCGACATTTCTCTTGACCGCAAAAAAATGAACGTCCTATCGATTCGAAACGATAACAAAAATCCCCTGCACCCACATTTCCTATCCCTTCTCGTTTTCTCTCTCCTATTGAAAGACTTCGTGCGAAGAATCACGTTCGATCATCAAAAAATGCTCGAAAAGTGGAGGCTCTCGTTCAGTCTCGGTTTGCCCGGCGCGCGATCGTGGCAGATTTTACAAAAATTTCGGGTTATCTTAAGCAACTAACCACTTTCGGGATCGTCGCCGACTCGAGACACGAGGCACCGTTGCTGTTGTTTCTTATATTTTTCTTTTTCTTTTTTTCGTTTTTTTTTTTTCATCATTTTTCTTCTTTTATCAAATCACAATTATATATAAAAAATCAAGTGTCCTTCGTACACTGCGCTCCGCGGTCCCTTGAGCAGTCGAGGTTTTGGCGCTTCTCAAAAAATCACTTGTCACCCTTAGAAAATTCCCCCGGTACCATTCAACTGTACATACTCGTTTCACTCGTGTCGAGTCCAAAATTTCGGGTCGTCGAATCGGCACGTTCACTTTCTCTCCCGTTACCGTTACTCTTACCTCTCTAAACAAAACAAAAAGACAGTCCAATTTCCCTCATACAAATTTGCTTCAAACGTCGAAATACTCGTGTCCTTTTTCTCCATCAAATTCCTCTCAAATACCAACGAAAATTGAACAGTCCACGATTCAACAGGCTAAACATATCGGAGTCCCATCGATGAAACTACCACCGTTTCTCATTCACGTGCTCCGTACTCGAAAAGTACAACCGAAGTCTCAACATGTTCATCGCTATTAAACGCTAAGTGTCCTTAGGTAAGTAACATTTAACCACGCACAACGTTTCGTTTAAGTAGCTCGTGAGAAGCATTTAGATATCGGACGAAGAGTCGCAACGACGTCGCACAATTGGTCTTCCGAACTTTCGACACCCGGTGGGTCTCTTTAAAGACAGGAGAAATCCGTCGTTGCGTCCGTTGCGAGTATCCTACCATCGTGCATCGACGTTCCATCTCCTTGACTAAATAATAGAAAGAAAGAAAAAAAAAAAAAAAAAAAAAAGAAAAGATAACGTTCGTGACGCGAAAATGAAAAATGTCCCAGTTTACGGTATCTTCTAAAGGAGAGCACCGTAAACACGTGTTCGTGTTGATCCTAAATAAGAAAGACCACCGTAGGATGATCCTTCCGACAAGCCCCACGTGATATATCCTCCGTTCAGCAACGAACAACGTGGCCACTACAATTAGAGCAAACCTTCGCGAAAGAGAGGTTCGCTACTCTGAACAGGTCCAGCAGACCAAATACGTCTTCACTGAACTGTGTACCGAATAAACTCATCATCGATCAATTCGTCGGAATCCATCTCACGATCGATGACACAAGATTAACAATCTCACTCTCCGTCAGGGTCACGATTGTTCGCTGCTGCCATGACAGCAGCGAAACGTTGTCGTCTTCTCCTGACAACAGAGGACACGGATGAGGGAAATTTTCGACGATGATGCGAGGATGAGATCGAAGAACGACTGTAATCCCATCTCGCGATGGGTCTCCCTCAGAGGACCGGTTCCTCGTCGGTGTCGTCGTTGTCCTCGTGCACCTGCGAGTGACACTGGCTCGTTGACGACGACGACACTGAACTCGTCTTCACTCTTCGATGTCTCTTTTGCTGGCTGTTCACGCTGGTACCGCTGTTACCAGCTGCACCGATCGGCAGCGCGGAACTGCTCCCTAAATTGTTTCCAGGCGGAGATACCAAGTCTAGGTCCATTTGATTTCCGTAAGCGTCGATCAACGGTCTCAGAGCAGTCCTCAAGGACCAATAGAGACGCGGATAGCTGCGTTCCTGTTGCAGCATCAATTCTTTGCTCTGTTTTTGTTTCTGCAACAAAGAAGAAAAGGGACGCCGGTGTAAGTGAAACGGGTCAAGAGCGAGGCGATCGGGGGAAATGCGTGAGAATTATCGATTGCGTCTAATTAAAGAGGTGCCGCGCTGGTGTACAACGGGGTACACAATTAACGATATAAATAAACGGGCGGGGCTTACCTCGGGAAGGTCACTTGACCCGGTTTCCCGCGAAGCCAACAGCTTCTTGCTCTCGGCAAACTGCCTCAGCGCCTTTTCCCTAACGTACACGAACGGTCGCACGACCCTGAGATCTTGACGGCGTATGTAGTAGTGGGCCTTCATGGTTTTCAGCCTGCCGCCGTGAAACACCGAGACGAGGAAACCCTCTGTCAAATCGTCGAGATGCTGGCCGAGCGCCAGAACGTTGTAATTGTGTCGCTTGGCGATCGCGTATAATTGCGCCCTGGTCGTTCGATTGCAAAAGCTGCACGCTCCGCTCGCGTCCACAGCCGCCACTTCAAGCTGGCTCTCGCCGCTGTTGCATTTAGGCAACTCGTTGCTCTGCTCCTCGTAGAAGTAAGGAACGTCCAGGGCTTTCAAGTAGCTCATCAGCTCGAGGGGATCGAATCTGTTCGCGTCCACGGTGGCCGCGCCGATCTCGAAGTCCACGCCCTTCGATCGAACGTAGAAACGATATTGGTGCAACGTGTGTAGCAACGATAGAGAATCTTTGCCGGTGGTCGAGAGACAGACGAGCACTCTGTCGTTGTCCCGAATCATGTCGAACTCTTGCATAGCTTCCACAGCTGGTTTCCAGATGTTCTTAGGAGGACAGTGCCATTGAGGTCGAGGCACTTCCGGTTTGCCGTCTTTAGACTCGAAGCTCGTCGCTTGGTCGCCGTCCTCTTCCTCCTTCAGATCGCTGGAACACTCTTCGTCCTCGGAGAAGTCGTCGTTCTGACGGACTTGTTGCTTGCAGCCGGATTTGTTGGACAAAGCGGTCATCGAGGTTGCTCTCGCCTTGCGACCGTAGCTGTTCGCCGAGTTCGACTCGGCGCTGCTGCTGCGTTTCAAGTCTACCGAGTCTAGAGACTTGTCGCTCTCGTGGAAAGACAGATTGATACCGCTGTCTTGAGAGCTGACCGAGTTCACCGCGGAGTAGATCTTCGGGAGAACTTTACGCGCGTCACCGATCTCCAATCCGCCGCGCTCGTGAGTATCGTCGTCGTTCAAATCGTCGTCCAGGTCGGGTACCACTTCCTCGTCGTCGGTTTTCGACTGGTTGCGCACCAGCTGCTCGTTCTCCGGCGGTTTCATCACGTATATCACCGTTTCGTCGGACGAACACTCGCTGGACATTTTGCTCTCCTGTTGCGTGAGCTCGCCGACCTTGCCGGAGATCTCGATCGGTCCGCTACGTCTGGCGCCCGACATTCTTGGCGACGACGAGGACTGCACGATGCGTCCTCTGTCTGGAGAGCCGCAGCCGCTCGAGGAAACGTCGGAGGCCGATGCATCGGGGGAGTGTCTGTGCAGTCCGTCCACGGCGTTCACCATGCATCTGATCTCGGACTTCACCTCGCTGGCCATCTCCTTGGAAAATTCCATCAAGTACTCCGCTATGTCGCTCGCGGTGAACGAATCGTGTCTCATCTGTTTGTCCTCCACGGACAGCTGACTGATGGCGCTTAGGTTGCGCGAATGATGTTGCGGAGTATTCTCGCAAGTGTTTTTTTTTCACCTTGGAGATCACCTCGCGAATCTCCGACTTGATCTCCGTGGCCAACTCTTTAGTCACCTCTTTCACGTACGCGCTCAAATCGTCCTCGGACCTCTGACAGTTCACGGAAACAGGCGACGATCTACCCCCGCCTACGAACTTCTCCGTGTAATCGCTGACGGAGGAGTAAGAAGACGGGGGCGAGGCCGCGTTGTGACAGTTCAAGGACAAGATAGAGTGACTCGGGCTGCCGTTGTCGAGCTCCAGAGAGTTCAAGTCTGTCTGGCTGCTGCAGCTGCAATGATGGCGCTTGTGCTTGGAGGAGTTGCCGTTGTTCGTACTCAAACCCAAGCTGGTCAACGTTTGAGGGCTGAGAGGTAGGGGAGGGACGGGCGAAGACGACGAAGATGCCACGTTCCTGTTCCCTGAATCGTTCCCTCCTCCGCTGGTGCTGCCGAGCGAGTTGCACCTGGCACGACCAGCGTTGGCAGCGTCCATAAGATCTCTTTGCTCTTTAATTGGCCTGTTGCCCGTGTGAGACATCGTGCCGAGGACCGAAGGCGTGACCGCCTCGCCAACGGCGAATCTCACAGGCATCGGTGAGCTGGGGCAAGTAGCAGGTGACCTCTGACCCGTCGAGTGGTTGTTTCTATCTTTATCGGTCGCGGCAGACGCGTGTTCCTCCTCGAAGCTGCTGCTCGGACTCGTGGTAGATGTCTGAAACTCGACAGCGTTCAGCAATGTTTTCCTCACGGTGCTCAATACAGGAAGACTTCGATGTCTGGGTGAATTGGACGAGATCGGAGTGTTTCCCGTTCGAGGAATGTCGCTGTTCAGTCGACGGATGCTATTAGCCAAGGCTAGACAATTCACCAGACTGTCTTGCGTGGTTGTAGGCGTGTGATGGCCATGTTTGCTCCACGACAACATCGGATTGAAAGGCACGTCTTGCTTCACGTTCTGCGAGTTACCCAGCAGAAGATCCTGCGCCTCGCTCGGCAGCATGAACCACCGTAGCGATTCGAGACGTTCAGACACAAAGTTGTAGCTACGATCTATCTGGAGCGGATACCTCAGCGCCATTTTTCTAGCACGGTTGAAGATGTTCCGTGCCGTTTGCAGACAATCGCCGTAGTTCTGCGGAAGAACACCCGAGCCGGATACACGTCTCTCGGAAGCGTTCATCTTCCCATCCGTGTATCTGATCGAGCTGAGCCACTTTCGCTCTTTGAACACGCTGTTCGTGTGGTGCCGCCATTCACCTGTATCCGGGTTCAGCACGTATTGCGGTAGCAATTTCCAACCTTCCGTGGCAACCATTTTCAATGCTTCCAAAACGAACGCGACCTCTGCCTCGGACATGAAATAGGGGAAAGAGAGTTTGGCGAAACCTGGCCTCAAACCTTCCGCGTTCGTCTCCTCGTTCTCGATGTTCCGCTCTCTGTAACGATAACGTAACTTAGGTTAGGGCATCGATATTGTAAGATCCCGTGTGTAACGATTTCTGATATTAACGCTAGGTTTACACGGATATTTCTTATATACCTATCTCTACGTCAAATTGACCGCAGATTTTCTTTAAGAAACAACTTATAAATGAAACTGTGATATTATATATTTCGAAGGGATGGAGGAAAGAGATAGAGAGGATTGGCGGGAAAGTGTTGGGGCGATTTATCCTGAGTCTCCTAGTGGATTCGTCGGTAAGGCTCTTTAGGAGGCCTGTGCCTTAGACGCGGGAGAGACTGGAAGGACAAATTTTTTCTTTTAGTCTTGAAAAGTCTTGGAAGGTGTTGCGGCCTTGGCCTTCTTAAGTTGCAGGAGGGACTGGAAGGATTCAGGTCAGAAGTTGTATATATACAAACAGGAGCCCTTACGAGGACTAGCGAGAACTCGTAGTTACTCCGTCCCTCTGGTGGCAGATCCTAGGAAGGTCGCTACAATTTATATAAAATTTCTAACAGTCATAAGTGTCGAGAAGTATAATTCCTCCTAGTGCCACGTATTGAGTCGTTGCCTACTCGTGGATGGCATTAGGAGGATTATCGGACGTCTTAAACTCTATTGGATTATTAAAGTCTCACCGAGTCACAGGCAGACTTTGTATTCTACCGAAAATAAAGAAAATCTCAATAATAAGCGATAGGAGAGAAATGTGTTTCTCCACTTCTCCCCGTGAAATTCTATATGCGTCGAACCCAGCGTTAAAGCGAGAAGTTTCGAATTTCTTACCCTTCCACCAGAGCTTTCTGGTACTCCTTGGCGAGTTCCTGGTCGATTCCCATCAGGTCATGAGCATAACGACCGGCGCAAGCGCATCCACCGCGAGCCTGTATACCGAACACGTCGTTCAGCACCGCGCACACGAAGTTGTGATGGAGAAACGTGCCTCGCGGATGACGCACCACGAACGAAAAGATCGGCAACCTTTTAACATTCTGCGAGCCGCTGCCGAGCAGAATCAGTTCCGGAATCGTGCGTACGTGAGCCAGCACTTGCCTAGAGAGAGAGGGAAAGAAAGAGATGGAGGAAACAGGAAACGATGGATCACGTTTTGCGAGTAACTTCGAGTTGTAGATACCGTCGATCTCTGAGATGATCTTTCGAACATTTTCGGCGATCGCGCGTCCTTTAAGTCCAAAATCAATCCAAGGCCATTTCGCGTTTAATTATTCAAGGACGCGATGGCTATTACTACCACGTGGTTTCACTCAACTGGATACAGTATTGTGTAACAAGGAAGACGAGTTATTTCCATCGCGACTTGGTAATTGGAGAAGAAGCGTCCGATCGATTTCGGACAAACTTAGCTGCAGGGGGTCTGGCATTCGAGACGTTCCCCTTTCGTTCCTCGTCATAAATATTCCTATGGTATCGGACGGTAGCTGGAGCTTTCCCGTCACGAGCTTACCACGTGTTTTTCTACGCTCGAAAACGGTCGTGAGATAACGCGGACAAAGGTATCGAGCAAGAGAGAATTGTACTTGTCTCGCGAACGGTTAGATACGGTTTAATCGATCGATTTTGGACGAAAGAACGATCGACGAGAGGATACAGTCCCGATGAATATCGATCTGGAGTAAGAATAAAGAAAACAACGAGCAAATACCTGGAAATCTTATCTTGACGAGCGACGATCGCTCGCGGCGTGACGTTCTCCTTGAGCTGTACAGCGAGGCCGCATCTGATGCTCTCGACGACACCGGCAGTGCCGCTCTCCTCGCGGAGCTCCGGATCGCGGTGATAGTGATGAGAGTCCCTCATGTCCTCCGTGGCAATTTTATCTTTCAAGAGGGACCGTTTGGTCACGAGCACACCGGGGGATTGAACTCCGCCGATGAACTTGTGCCCGGCGAAAATAATCGCGTCTTTGTGCACCGCTGTCTCGCCGACACTGGGCAGATGTGGGTTCATATCGATTTGAACGTACGGGGCTGAAAAGATAGGGCCGTACAGAGGAACTGAGATAAAAAGAGAAAGAGAGGCGACAAGGGGAGGAAAAATGCATGTGAGTCGACGATAAGAGTTTCGTGTGGCCCGATAACGGTGGTGTATCGAATCGATCCGAATTGAACATCGTTCTGCTGCGGAGAGAACCGTGAGGGGAAAATTTTCACACTTTCTTCTCCTGAAAATCGTGGGTTCTCGCAGTCATTAAACAAAGGGCAACGAAAGATCTGTGTCGCAGGCCCATGGATCGGTTGATAAGTACGCGCCGTTGGACGTTCGCGTAAATACGCCATTTCATTGTTTGACGAAAACGGTTTCCCTTTTTCTGGAAATTCCCGAGAATCGGAAGGATGCGTTTCTCCTGCGAGTAAGGCACAATGGTTTATTTCCTTCTCAAACGCGGTAAAAATTATTTTCTCTCACTGAAATCATGTATTTACCCCTTATTTTTTTATTTTCTGCAATTTCGGCATATATTTGTGACGTTGCTGTTGGTATAGAACAGGGGTCGGCAAACTGCGGCCCGCCATCAGTTTTTTTATGGCCCGCGAGTTGTCTATGATCCAAATATCAGATTCGCTATAGGTCAGCATTGACAAGTGAACATTTACAATCAACTTTGATGATAGGAAATACAAAGCTTCAACTACAGTTAAATGAAATATTATCCAAAAGGAAAGAATCTCATATTTCTCATTAATAAATGTGTATTACAGATAAAGGATTTGTCAAAAAATTTTCATTCGTAGTTAACTACCTACATACATACACACGTAATAATCTCAATTTTCTCTCTTGGCCCACAAAGCCAAAAAATATTTAGTATCCGGCCCTCCAGAAAAAAAGTTTGCCGACCCCTGGTATAGAATAATAAATAAAAATGATTTTGTAACAACATTTATCAATAAATTACTGAAAATATGGGGCGAAGGGAGGGATGCTTTTTTGAAATCGTATTAAATTTAAAATAAGTACAAAATATAATTCTTTCATACAAATACAAATAATAATTTTTTTATTTCAATCATTTTGCGGTTGACTTCTTTAAAGCAGCGTAGCCCCATTAAATAATTAAGAAGTATGAAGCAACAAATTATGCCACATTATAGCCCAAATATTCAATCAGCTACCTGTGTAAATAGATTTTTTTCATTTTCAGGATACCTATGAAGGACCTTTTACCGCGTTTAGGAGGCAAATACCTCACAGCGCGGCCATTTTTCTAGAACAATTAACTCACGTTACATATAATACTTTCGTTACTAGTAATTTCGTTATCAAATAAATTAAGCCTCGTCACCTCGCAAACAGGGCAGACTTATTTAACCATTACACGGAGTATTACTAATATATTTTCGTCGATAAGCAGGACAAACATTGCGTCACGTTTAATATCATTGGTTGTTTCGACCCGTGTATCGACTTCCACCAGCTTATTATAATAGTTACCTGCTGTGGTGTAATCCCAGACGCTAAGTGCCCCATACTGGTGCAGTAGGAGGGTCGTCGCGACGTCATCTGCCAAAACCCCGGTTATGCAACTGGCAGCGCTGAAGCATCCGATCATTTGCGTAACACCCTCGGCTCGTACTTTAAGCAGGTTCCTTTCGAGATCGTTCAGATCCAAGAAACCCTCCCGGGTCTCGGACACTCGTACTATCTGCGACGGTTATTCCCAATGTTATTCCAAAAAAATTTCTGTCATTTCTCTTTATACGATTTTACAGTTTCCTACGAATTTTACGCTCGAATTTTCTGGGATTCTTACCTTCAACCGTACCATTGACTTCTCAACATTCTTCGCTTCAACTTTGCCGAACGCGTGTTCCTTTACACGTTCGAAAAAGCTATCAATGATATTTCCCGGCAGAGTGAGTCCTCTTTACGGCGAACGAAAGCGAGAAATCACGTTTTATTTACGTAAAGAGAGTTTTATACGACTGCCCTGGCAAGTTCGAGCCACTTCAAAGGAAAGAGCGAGAAAATGGCTTCCTTCCGGGGCAACCAGTGACACGCGCTCGCGAAGAGCTTTGAGAAGTCTTCGAAATATGTATCCCGCTTCGGTAAACGATCACTGAAAACCAATTTCTCTGGCTTGCGACGTCACCGTGTATTAGGAATACGCGCTCGTTTTCTTAGTAGCGTGGATTTATTCGCACGTATCGGGAACGAGCTGTTTGTTATTCTTTGCCCGTTATTTCCATCGTCACGTTCCAAATACGCGCGTTTACGTACAGGAACTATGTACTACTAATATTCGGACGCTCTTTAGAAGAGTTTAACTTTTTTTTAAATTGGACCCAACGACTTGAGTTTTTTTTTTTTTTTTTGAGAAGTTAGAAAGATTAGTATATGACGTGAGAAAACTAGATTACATACTAGATGACGTGTGGAAAAAATTGCAATTTGTGGAAATCACGAAGAAAATTGTAAAGGTCACATTTAACAACTTTTTTATTTCATCGCGTATTGAAAATTTCATCGAAATCGGTTAACGTTGCTACGAGCTGCAAAACCGCACGGTTTCACGACTTTCGGCCTAGAACTGTAATAAATCTGAAAATTCTTCCGATTTCAATGAAATTTTCACCATGTTTTAAATTTTCATTACAAACTCAGGTAAAAAAAGTTGCGAACAGATTTCCTTCGCGATTCCCTAAAATTGCAATTTTTTCCAAATTTTTTGCTCACATCATCCAGTACACTAATCCTTTCAACTTCTAAAAAAAAGCTCAAGTCGTTAGGTTCGATTTAAAAAAAGTTATACTCTCCCAAAGAGTGTCCGAGTCATTGTACATACAACTTGGAAGGCAGCTGTGTAAATTATTCGAAAATCGCGTCGGTTGAAAAGGTTAATTCATTCTCGCCAACTCGTTATCACCGAAAGAGTGAACAAAAAAGGAAGGAAAACATTTCGAAAACAGGAAGGATTCCTCCGATGTGTGACACAGTTGAAACATTCTCAATGTCTCCCGGATCATTCGAGCAAACGTCGTCATTGATGTTAGCATTGGTAGAAAAAAAGTAATCCTTACCCTGAGACCATGCTCCCGCCAAGGTCGTAGATTCGCGTGATGCTCGAACGGTCCCACGAACACCACCGTCGACATGGAGAGATCGAGGTGTCGCAGAAGTGTGCGAAGGGCAGCTGCCGTGCCTTGACCCGTGAACAAAACCGCATCCTGCTCGCCAGCCCCCACTGCATGTCTCACGATGTCTCTTGCTTCGTGTCTGCAAAATGTTCCTACTCGTCAGGATATATCGATTCGTCCTTACGCGACCATTAACGATCGTAAACTCGCGGATGACGGATCCACCGAGGGCGGAACACGTTCTCTCTCTCTCTGTCTCTTGCACGCAACTCTCAAGAACGTTTACCGATCTCGCTTCTCGGTACCTTTTATCGCTCGCGAGGTCGCTTCTCGAACAGGAAAAACCGCGAAGATGTTGTGGAAATTTTACGGTCGTTAGAACGTACACTTGATTATCCTTTGGTAACATTACCAACGTTCTCTTATAGTTATGCAAATTAGTGCGGTTTTTCTTCGCTTTGCTCTGTTTTCGCGAAGCTGTGACCTTTCAGCGATGGAGCTTTCACATTTCAAATTTCATAGAAATACCGTTGTATGAAATTTCACGTATGAAAGAATCATTCTAAACTCGTGCTACGCAGTCACTCTTAGGTTGAAGGATAATTAATAAAAAAGAGCGAGTTTTCATTTCTCTCTGTTCTCGCGAAGCTGTAACCTTTCAGCGATGGAGCTTTCACATTTCAAATTTCATAGAAATACCGTTGCATGAAATTTCACGTATGAAAGAATCATTCTAAACTCGTGCTACACAGTCACTCCTCGCTCAAGGAATAATTAACCCTTTCACTGCTATCAGCGCCTATAGGCGTTTTGAAAATTTGCTCTCAGCGTACTTTTGCAGTCTTT